GGAAGAGTTGTGAGTTTTAAATGAAAGGTTTTGTATGAGGCATTAAGCACAGTGCCTGGCATCCTTAGGGCATCCACATTCTATAACATCCAGCTTCCTGGAGTGCTGGGAGAGGGCAGAAGTGTACCTGCAGATGGTTTCATAGGACAGTCCAGCAATGGAGGAAGGGTAAAAGCAATCTTGGCATCTGACATTTGGTCCTGACAGCAACCATGAGTCAGCCTCAAGTGCTGAGGGACAGGCAGTGTTCTTAGCACTGCTGGGCGTGTGCTGTGGTCCTTGGCCAGTCCTCTTCAGTCACACTGTTTGAAGGCTGTTCTTGTAAATCTGGCCTGGGTTCTTTAAAAAAAAAAACAAAACCAGCCTCTCCAAGTGATGTCATGGTCCAGCCTGGGTCAGGGAAGGAGGGGAGTAAGTTGTGTGCAGCCTCTTATTTCTGGGGTTAGATCTTACTTCTGGAGGGTTTAATATGGTCTTGGAAGAAATTCAGTCTTTCTCCCTTCCTTTCAAGACCCAATGGGTAACCAATGCCCTGATTTAGAGTGATAGGGAAGTGATAAATCATAATGATTAAGACATGAAGCTTAGCATCAAGCAGCTCTGGGTTTAAATCTTGGCTCTTCCAAATACTCCCTCCAGGACCTTGGCAAACCACTCCTCTTTTCTCATTTCACCCATGACTGAGATCATTCTGATGGTATGGTGGTAAGGTTTAAAGAAATATGTGCAAAAGGCTTAGCACATGTGTCAGAGCACACACTGTGGAGCACATAGTAATTGTTCAATAAATGACAGCTACTGTTAAGTCCTCTGCATGTGATGAGGAACATACCTTGACCATTTTCTATGCTTTTTACCAATCTTAGCACCAAAGTGTTCTTAATAACCATTTTCCCTCTGAGATGTGTTCATGCTTCTCATACTGATAGCACCATGACTCTGGAGATAAGGAGGGTAGGGAGAGATGAGTAACTGTGTCCTATCCCTTTGTTTTCCCCTCCTCAGCCAGCTGGCTCCCTGGCTGCAGCCCTCCTGGTTCTCCTTGCTGCCTCTCTGGCCTCTGAAGATGTCTGTCTCCTCTCTCCAGCTTGGAATGATCAGCCCCACCCAGCCAGAACTTCTGGCTCCCCTGACCCTGACTCTCCCCCACATCCTCTGCGCTTTTCTCTTTATTTTGCAGACAGCTGGGGAAGAGGTCAGCATGTGTGAATGTCTTTGCACCATAGAGACACTAATTCCAGGATGTTCAACATGTAGCTTCATTGGGCAGGAGGCCTCTAGTGCTTCTTACTTCTTCTCTTCTGGATTTGTGTGTGTGTGTGTGTGTGTGTGTGTGTGTGCGTGCGCACGCGTGCGTGCACATTCAGGGGCAAGGCTGAGGGTTAGAAATGTCACTGCTAAATCTCTCCCCCTGCTCTAGACAGGATGGCCCTTAGCCTGTAATAAGGGAAATGTACAAGGCAGTAGAGCTCCTACATGGGAGAAGTCAACCTAGGTTGGGCCCCAAAATCCCAGGTCAATGTCCACTTGGACCAGAACCATATTCTTCACTAGGGGGTGGAAGTGGGGTAGGGACAGAGGAATAAGGGAGTGTATAGGAAAGGTAAAGACCAGACTCCACTGGAAAAAAGACCCCAAAAAAAGACTAAAAACAATGACATGCATCAGTTAGAAGCAAAGTGGCATATTTACATATGGTATCATGAAAAGATATCCAAGACATGCTATTGAGTAAAAAAAGGAATCACTGAACAACTAGGATATTAAATCATATTTATGCCTTTTTTTAAGTGCAAAATATGTGAGGAGATGAGAACGGAATGGGGCTATAAAGTTTTGTGTTTCAATATTTTGCAGTTCAACAGAGACTGACCTGTGGATGAAATTGGAAACTCTGGCTTCACTGTGGTCATGTTTTTTCAATGTCACCTCAACAACAGGGACACTAGGTCTGCACCCTGAAGAAGTGTGGCCCTCTTGGACAACAGATCTGCTCAGCCCATCCTGCTTGGTTGTCCCCAGAGGACAAATAAATACTCTCTACACCGAGTCATGCCAAGAAACAAGTCAAGGGGTTGATGACTCAGCAATCCTGCCCTGTCCTTGGAGGGTCCCTTAAACTTCATGTCTCTCCTGTCCCCTGCTACCCCTCTGAAGCTTTCCAAACCGAAGCTCTTTGACCTGCGAGCCCTGAAGCCTTCTCAACCCCTCTTGCTCTCTGGTGTCCAGTCAATGGCATTGTTGCCTTTGGTTATGCTTGTGTGAGGCGATCATTGCAGCAACCCCCTGAAAAGGGAGCAGGTTTGAATCTTTTTATATTTTGACTCACTGCCAGATTATTTAAATGATTTGAAAGAAAAAGTAGCCCTGACTGGGGTGGCTCAGTGAACTGAGCCCCAGGCCTGCAAACTGAAGGGTCGCTAGTTCGATTCCCAGTCAGGGCACATTCCTGGGTTGTGGGCCAGGTCCCCAACTGGGGATGTTTGAGAGGCAACTGATGGACATTTTTTTCTCTTGCACTTCAATGTTTCTCTCTCTCTCTTTCTCCCTCCCTTCCCCTCTTTCTGGGAATAAATAAATAAATAAATGATTAAAAAAGAAAAAATTAACTATGCAACAAGCATATACTTATGTATTTATACACAATTAAAAAGTATGTCTTATAGCAAAAGTGGTACCATTTAAAATATAAATGGGTTTAGAAAAGGAAGGTAAGGGCTCCCGGGGTGGAAAATGGGACTTCCTGTGAAAGAACCTGTCCCAAATGAAGCCCTTGTTTGTCCCTTTGCCACGGAAAGTAGGACTATCTCTTACGGAAACTAGGAGGATGAAGATGTGCTCTCCAGTCCCCGTTCAGCCCCAAAGAGCCCCCACAGCTGACCCCGAGTTATCAGAATGCTTCCAGGAGTCAGTGAAAACATCCAAATGTCCAACTGCTAAGAAAAAGTGGGAAGAGGAAAATGTGGAGGAGAGAAAATTCCCAGGATCTGCCACGCAGAGGCGGGGGGTGGGGCACGGACTCCCACACTCAGCAGTGACCACGCCGGGCTTCTCCTTTGGAGGGCTCCAGTCCCGGTGCAAGTTTAACCCCAACTCTAGGCTAAAAACCACCCTTTCTACCAAGTCACCTGTGTATTTCCTTTTGATTCTATGGTCATTTCGTAAATGAAAATGTGCCGCTCCAAACACACGACATGGCCTGCCCAAGGTTACATACACAGTGAGACAGAGGCAGAACCTGCCTTCTGGATCCTAACCGATGTTTGTTTTCTTCCATTTTTACGGTGCTGCCCTATTGAAACCTTTCATCTTGACCTCAACCCCAGTCCTAACCACCACAGGCTCAAGTGCTTCTGACCCTAAGCCAGTGGAAGTGGGTGGTTTTGCTCTCTGTCCCTCCTTGCTTCCTCGTTCCATCTTATAATCTAGAATTTTTCTCCTGGCCATGTTTTTGTTGTTTGTTTGTTTGTTTGTTTGTTCTTTGTGTTTTAAAAGGAGCAATCCCGGGTGGCAGGGAAGGAGTGGGTTTTCTCCCTGGCCAAAGTGGTCGCGAGGGGCCTGGCTCTTTCCTGCACGTCCGAGAAGATGACCCTCTGCGGGAGGGCTTTGGAGTTTATGCCAAGGGAGCCTTCGCCCCCTGGATGCCTTTCTAAAGCCACCTCTTGGCCCCAGCTGTGGAGGAGGACCACAGGTGAGCAGTGGCGACGGTTCAAGAGCTTAAGACCCTGAGATGAAGATTTTGCAGAGAGAACATGAAAGATAATTTGTGGTGGGCAGGGATCAGTAAACTTGGACAACAGCAGCAGCTGAGTTCAGGGGTCAGCGTCTGGGAGTAATTTAGGAAAGTTCGGTGCTGACAGCTGTGTCTGAAGTTGAATGTCATGGCTGAGCCAGCTCCTGGGCTCCTGCACTGCTTGAGGCTAATGAAGCTCTGGCTCAGACCACAGAGACGGTCGTGTGTGGCAGAAGTCAGGGCCCCTGGGGCCCCTGGATCCCCATGCTACTTGCCGGCAGTGTGATCTTAGGCAAGACCATAGGAAAGGCGGAAAGGGAACCAGCGTCTGCTGTGCCAATGCTGTGCCCTTTCGCGATGTCATCCTCACTACAGTCTAGTGAAAAGGGGGACGTCCCTGTTTTACACGGGGGGACGCTAAGAATCTGTGAAGGTGAACTGAGTCACTCCAGGAGAGGAGAAAGATGGAATCGGGACTCAGGGCTTCTGAACTCCAAGTTCTTGGCTCTTTCCCCTCAGCTCTAGCTTATTTCCCCCTGAAACGGGGATAATAATGCGCCCATCTCATGAATGAAGTCACACACTGTAGATTCCAACCCGCCCCCCACCTTCTCACAACCGTGGTCCTGAAGAGGTGTGGCCACCTTCCTTCTGGAAATACAGTCAGCTTACTTTTGCCCTTCTCCCCAGTCCTGTTTGTGGGTCCAGGCCCCAGGAGGTACCTCGAAGGAGGTATTTGGACTTTGGTTCTCCCTCTATCTCTACCCCCAGGCCTTTCGCAGACTCTGGAGGGCCAGCTCTCTTCTCCTCCCCGGTTTTGGCAGGCAGACTGACAACACTGGGTGTTCCCAGGCAAACTGGGAACCCTGAGCCCAGCTCCAGGGCGCCTCCCCCCACCGCCCAGGGCAGCCCTAAGCCTCTGCCTTGGAATCTGTGGCGCTGAGAGGCCCCCTGAGCACCCTGTTCTCCAAGTCTCTCCGAGGGCAGCCTGCTCCCCTGCCCACCTCCCATCCAGGAGTGGATGTTGAGAGACTCCAGTGAGTCCTAGGCGCCACGCGGCCGAAGCCAGGAAATGGATCCGGGTTCTGGGGTTACAAGGGGAGCTGTCCAGCCCCGCAGGGTGAGCTGGAAGAAAGGGTGGGCCTTCGCCGGCGAGGCGGAGGCAGCGGCAGCGGCGGGCGCCAGGGTCGGGTGGGGCTGTGACTGCCCCTTCAGCCCGCCGCCCCGGGCGTCGCCTCCGCCCCCCGCGTGGCCGCCGCTGTCCCAGCCCCTGCGAGGAAGCGGCGCGGCTTCCTGCGGCTGGGGCCGGGGATATAGGCGCCCCCGCCCGGGCTCCGCGCCGCCGCCCCTCCTCGCTTGCCTGCTGCGCGCACGATGGCCCGGCTCCGGGCCGAGAGTGCCGCCGGCGGCCAGTGGATCCTGGCGACCCGCGCGGGGGGACCCTCAGCGCTCCGCCTTCTCCTCCTGCTGGGCGGTGAGCGCATCGCTCTGGGGCGAGGGTGGGAAGCGCGGGAGGCCCTGGAGGGGAGTGGGGCGGACGGCGGAGGCCGGAACGGGCCCCGGGCTGCGGTGCAGACAGCACTGTCCTTCGGGCTGTCCCTGGAAAGGACGCCGCGCAAGCTCCTTCCCACTAGAGGAAAGATGGACCGGGGCCCCTCGGAGAGTTTTGGGGGACCTCTGGGGCTGGCGAGGAGGGAGGAGGCTTGGGACCTGAATGTGAATGGGAAAGCGCTGGTACTAGCCCCTCTCTTCTGGACACTGAGGCACCCGTGGGTGGATTATTCCTCCGTCTCTTCTGAGAGTAGCTTTGACTTCCAATGGACTCAGCCTCCAACTCACACCCATCCTCCAGGCCCTACTGCTACTCCACCTCCTCTCCCATTTCTGCCCACAGCTGTCCTGACGCCCCAGGATTCCCTGGCTCAGCTTCTCACCACCCCTGGCAGCTTGGAGTCAGAAGGTGAGTGGCCAGCCGCTGTGGGAGGGTGGTCTGGGGCAAGAGGAGAGAGAGGTGAGTCAGTGGGGAGGGTTCCTTTCCCATAAGACAGGCTCCTAAGCCTGGGGCACCTCACGGCCGGGTTGGAGGACCCCAGAAAAAGTGTATGTGGACATCTCATTTCTGCCCACAGCTATCCGGAAACCCCAGGATTCTGTGGCTCAGCTTCTTACCACCCCAGGCAGCTTGGAGTGGGAAGGTGAGTGGCCAGCCACTGTGGGAAGGTGGCCTGGGGCAAGAGGAGAGGCAAGTGAGTGGGGAGAATTTTTTTTTTTCCTACAAGTCAGGCCTCTAAGCTGGCCCACCTCACAGCTGGGTTAGAGGACCCTAGAAAAAGTGTATGTGGGAACTCTCGTCAGTCTGAGAAGTGCTGTGCACATGGAAGGCATTAACATTTTCCTGAGCTAGGACCCGCTCCTCAGCGGGTTGCTTGGGAAACTTTCTGAGCCTGTCCTGGCAGTTCCTACATTTAGAGACAGTGGGTTTTGGATGGAAGTATCTGGACCAGTGGGCTTGGAGGGAGGGGTGGGTGTGGTCAATGTGCAATATTAGTGCCCACAGGGAAGATGGTGGAAGAGTACGGTCAGAGAATTGAACTTTGCTGGCATAACTATACGATTTATATGGATTCTGTCAAAGGAGACTGGTGTGACTGGACGGTGATTAGCAGGTAGGGGCCGTGCTGGAGGGTGGTTTGGGCCAGGGGTGGGGCTTGCTCTTTGTGGGTGGGCCTTGAGTAAATGTGGGGCGCTCCTCACTTCGGGCCCAGCCCCTCCCTCACTCTAGGCCTCTCCTGCCCCCAGGCCTTATAGCTACCTGCAAAATTGTTTGGAGCAGACCGCGGACGACTTTCACCTGGGCTTCCCCAACCCCTGGGCAGAAGAGTTCATCTTCGAGACTCACCAGATCCACTTTGCCAACTGCACCTTGGTGCAACCCACCCTCTCAGACCCCCCAGAAGACGTGCTTCTGGCCATGATCATAGCCCCCATATGCCTCATCCCATTCCTGGTCACCCTCGTGGTGTGGAAGAGTAAAGACAATGAGAGCCAGGCCTAAGCGGGCCGGAGTTTCTCAGCAGCCGCCTTACTCCTTTCTCCAGCCACCACCAGGTCTCTCTCCCTGTCTCCCCGCCCCCTTCTCTCACTTGCTCCCCATATGGAGCCTTAGACTAGTGGAAATGGGGCTGGGTGGGGTCATGGCACAAATTCTGTAATCTTCAAAATAAAAGCTTTCTTTTGTACACTGTCCTCCCCACCCCAGCGGGGCCTGTGTCTTTCCCGGAGTCTGGCATTCCCACAGGCCCTCAGCTCTGGGCAGCAGAGCAGGAACAACATGGAGAGACCCACTGTTTTGTTCACTCACCTGCCCCTCACAGGCCCCCACCCCGCCCCCACACAAGGCCACACTCCTACATCCCTCCCGCCCAAGGTGGGGCCTTTCCTGCGCCTGTCCAAACCCAGCTTCAGGAAACGTGCAGGAAGAGACTCCCTTCCTCTCCCGACAACTGCTGGAGGCGGGGAGGGGCAGGGAGCGCTCTCGCTGTGACTCCTACCAGAAGGAAGGGGGCCGCCGGGAGCCCTGAATTTTCCCCTCATTCATGTTCACTCCTAGAGACTGGGAATAGGAGCCCTGATCTGAACGACTGGAGCCCACCCCGAAGACCTCAGGATTGAGGGCAAAGGCAGTGGGGGCTCCCCCCACGAGGTTCACCACAGCACTCCCCCATCCAGGTCCCTGGCCCTCATCCTACATTGTCCTGGACCCTGGGGGTGTGGCCCGCAGCTGTACTGCCCCCTGGCGTCCACTAAAAAGCAGCAGACGTGTGGTGGAAGAAGCTCAACACAAGAGATTGGACCCCGAGGTCAGAGACCTGTCATCTCCGTAGCAAACACTGCTTCTTAGCTGGACCCTTCTATCAGCCTCCTGAGTCACACTTATGCTCCTTCAAGATACTCCCCCACTTTTGACATAAGAAATGTTCAAACCTGTAGGGAATTTTTATAAAAGTTTATTTGAGCCCAAACTGACAGCATATGCCAGCAGCAAGCTCTCAGCTCCTCTGAAGAATTACAGTTTTGAAATTCCTTTTATGCATTGAAATTAAGGAAGGGACATAAGACAGATTGTGTGAAGGTGAGAGCAAGTAATGTGGGGATTGGATTTTAGGGTAGTTAAGATTGCTTGCTCTTTGAGAGTGGTTATGTCTTAGAAGCGGGGGTTTGAAAAGGCAGTTTCAAAGGTGTGTAACCTAGATACACAGGAACGATGGGCAGAGCTTGTATAAGATGATAAACGTTTCACTACAGATTTATATGTCTGGGGCGTGACTACCCACTATGACCTGCCCAGTTAGAAATTTATGGTTTATTACAGCACTTTTTTTCATCCACATCACTTTCTGGGGACATACCTAGTCTCTGTGACTCACCATTTTGGCGTAAGTCCCCTGGACAGTGAGGCTCAGTTCTCACCAGGGAAACTTCACCTCCAGTTCTCCTTGAGGTAAACCTGCCAGGTCATCAAAAATATCTAGAGAGTCCTGCCCAGGATGGCTCAATTGGTTGGGTGTCATTCTGCAAGGCGAGAGATCGCTGTTCTAATTCCCGGTCAGGGCATATGCCCAGGTTGTAGGTTTAGTCCCTGGTCGGAGTGCACAGGGGAGGCAGCTGATAGAAGTTTCTCTCTTGCATCAATTTTGCTCTCCCTCTCTGTCTCCCTCCCTTCCCCTCTCTCTAAAAATAAACAGTAAATAAATAAATCTTTAAAGAATTATCTAGAGAATAACTTTGTTCTCCATACAGACACCTGTTTATTCCTCATGGCACCTAAAGTCTCTTCAGGAACTTTTCTTTTCTCCTTGTTGAAACACCTGCCTCCATGAGTATATGCATATCAATTTCCTAGACATGCCTGTCTATTCCTTACATGTGTACTCGTATACCTCCTGGGATGTATCTTCATTCTCTGAGACACACTGCTTCTCTCAGGACCTATCTGTCTATCTAGAGACACACCGTTTTTCACCTGAGACAAATCTTTTCTCTGTTTCCATAAATGAGTATGTCTTCTCCAAAGATATATCTATGTTTTTCTTGGCTCACATTATGCCTTCATGAATTTTACTAGTGTACATCAAAGGCTTGCTGGTATAAGACACTGTGTATGGTGTATTGTGTTGGACTCATAAGTTAGATAAGACTTGGTTTCTGGTCTCAGTGGCTTTCATATAGTAGGGGAGCTGACATGCACAAAGAAACAAAAACAATAGAGTGTGTGATGAGAGTTATGCAGGGAATACAAAGCAAAGGTTTGTACGAGTGCAAAGGAAGGATGTGTCACATCTAGCAGAGGTGCGATTCCAGGAGGTAAGATCACAAGAGGGTGCTTGTGGAAGGGCTACAGGATTGGGCTTTAGGAGCAGTGCATTCCCTTGGGGGCTGGGGGTGGAAAGTAGAAAGGGAGATGAATTAGGAAACAATTGTAATAGTCCAGGCTTGGGAAAAGGGGGACATGAACCAAAAAAGCGTGGTGAGTGGAGAAATGAAAAATAATTTAAAAGTAGGAGAGATGATTAAAAACAGGAGGGAATCAACAGGATTTTGATATGAAGCAGATGACAGAGAGGAGACATTAGAGCTGACTCAGGCTTTGAACCTCAGTTACTCAAACAATGATGGGAGTAATCATAGAAAAGGGCCATTAATAGGAGGTGGTAGCTTGAAAAAAAAGAGGATATGCAATATGAGATAAAAATGGAACAAGCTGTTCTATCTCACAGCGGGTTAGAAGTGGGGTGGTGACGGTGGTGGTGGTGAATGGGGTGGAGCTGGAAACGTATGTTTAGGAGTGTTCTGCACAGAAATGCCATGTAAAGCCATGAGAGGGATGAAAGTTCTAAGAGTGAAGGTATATCGAAAAGAAGACCGAGGTTAGGTACTTAGGAAAAACTCACATTTAGAGTATGAGGAAAAAGGAGACCAAGGGAAAGATTAGAGAGAGAGACAGTAGGAGAACAAGGGGAAGACAGTGCCACGGGAGCAAAGGAGATGGCACTCTTTGAAAGATTGTTATCAACCGAATGGTTCCTTCATTCACTCAACAAAGATTTGTTGGGCATTCTGTGAACCAGGAACTGTGCACAATGAAGGTGTTGGGGATCAGACAGGAAATTGAGAGGATGGCAAGGTCAAGGACACTACATAATTTCTTTTTTAAAAAAAGGTTTTTAAAATTTATTTATCTCTAGAGGGGAAGGGAAGGAGAGAGGGAGAGAAATATCAATGTATGGTTGCCTCTCGTGCATCCCCTGCTGGGAACTGGCCTGCAACCCAGGCATGTGCCCTGACTGGGAATTGAACTGCGATCCTTTAGTTCGCAGTCCCACACTCAATCCACCAAGCTACACCAGCCAGGGCTATTTTTTTAAATTTAACTTCTTGGGGTGGTACTGGTTCACCAAACCATACAGGTTTCAAGTGTATAACTTAATAAAATATCATCTGCACACTGCATCGTGTGCCCATCACCTCAAGCAAAGTCTCATTCTGCTCCACCCCCGCTGCCCCACCTCTGGCTATCACCACACTCTTGTCTGTGTCTATGTGTTATGTATGTATGTTTTTTTGTTAATCCCTTCACTTTCTTTCATGCAGTTCCCCATCCTCCCTCTCCTCTGACAGCTGTCAGTCTGTTCCACGTATCCTTGACTCTGTTTCTATTTTGTCTGTCAGTTTATTTTTCTCATTAGATTCCACATGTGGGTGAGATCATATGGTATTTGCCTTTCTCTGACTGGCTTATTTCACTTAGCATAATAATCTCCTGGTCCATCTATGCTGTTGCAAATGGTAAGACTTCCTTTTTATGGCTGAGTAGTATTCCATTGTGTATATATACCACAAGTTTTTTTTTTACTGTATTCTTCCATTATCATTTAGTTCCCTTATATCCTCCCCATCCCCAGCAATCACCACAGTTGTCCATGTCCATGAGTCCTTTTTTCTTTTTGCTCAATCTCTTTACTGCACAACCTCTCCCCACTCTACCATAGCTTTCTAAAATTCTTTTTTATTTATTAATTTTGAGAGAGCAAGAAAGAAACATGAATTTGTTGTTCCACCCATTTATGCATTAATTGGTTGGTTGATTCTTGTATGTGCCCTGACTGGGGATTGAACCTGTAGTCTTGGCATATTGGGACTGTACTCTAACCAACTAAGCTGTCCAGCCAAACCTGTATCACAACTTTTTTATCCCCTCATCTACTGATGGGCACTTGAGCTGTTTCCAGAACTTGGCTGTGTAAATAACACTGCAATGAACACAGAGGTGCATCTATTCTTTTGGATTAGAAGGACACTACATATTTTCACATAGGGATGACCTCCACCCATTTGTAGACTAGGAGAGAGGAGGTAAGGAAAAGAAAAATTAGGGGAGATAATGCACAGAGAAGTCCTGGAGGAAGTTGAAAAGGTGAGATAAGAACATATGCCAAGAGGTTGCCCTTATTAAGGAAGAGCAACACTTCTTCCTCTGAGTCCAAAAGGAAGGAGTAAAAGTGAAGAGCAGTTTTCGAGGGATGAATCAAGTATGATGACAAATGGAAAGGGAAAGATTAATAGGTTCACATTAATGGCCTCAATGTCATAAAATAGAATTAAAGGGCATTCTGCAGAGAGGGGGAAAATGGGGACATGTGGAATGGCTTCATGAGTGTGGAAAAGTTTGAAGAGTTACCTTGAGAGACGTGACAGGGAGTCAATAAAAGCAAAAGGGTCGGGAGCATTTGAGATCTTGCTCCCCAACATACGTTGTCAGTTTGGTTCAAATAAACTCTTAAAAATAAAAAGACAAAGGTTCACTGGCTGCACTGAGAGCCCAGCAGTGAGGTTAGTGAGGGAATGCTCAGTCAGCATGTTCTGGTGATTTTATTTTTGTAATATTCCCCTGCTAAGGAATGACAAAAAGGGAGTGTGGGTGGGCAGGGAGCAACTATCCTGGTTTGGAAACGAACCAGCAGGCAGTAGGTAGGTAAGGGGACAGAACTGAGTGGTCTAGCCTGGTTAAGGAGTCAGAAAGACCAAAAAGGGTCTCGGACTTGAGACCTGGAAGGTGAGGGCATGAGATGAGAGAGACGGCTGTGCTCAAAGATGGCAACTCGGAATCACGGAAGCAGAGCTGTTTCCGCAGATCAAAGTTATGAATGTGTTCCCACTGGCGCGACAGGAGACTGAGGTATGGTGAAAAGTCAAAGGTCACAGGAGTCGAGGAGACTGGGGAATTGTAAGGCGTTTGACTTAATGGCAACTGACTGACACAAATGTTAATATTGAAAGAAGCCTAGCATAGGGGACACAAGCCTAGGCTGGGGTCTGGAGACCTGGGGATTTACTTGCAGTTCTGTTAACAAACTGGGCTGCTGTGAGGGAGTCACTGCTCTTCTTTGGGGTTGACTCAGACTTCACAGGGCCCTTTCCGCTCTGAACAGTAAGGATTTATAGGATAATGGCAAGGGGCTGGCTGAAAAGGCAGATCCTTTCCACTAGGTTGGTCCCACCTTCTCTAGGGAAGAGTGCGGAACCTTTCTGCTGCGCTTTCTGCCCGGACCTGAGGAAGGGGAGACCGGAAGTCCTTTGCCCGGAGGTTCCGGGTTTCCTGGGCTACTGCGATGGCGATGAGTTTCGAGTGGCCGTGGCAGTATCGCTTCCCGCCCTTCTTTACGTGAGGCTTAGACCCCGAGAAGCCCCGCTGTGCCTCCCTTCCCTTCTGGGACCCCGGGCTCAGCCCTGATCTTTCACATGGGGAGGGGGAGAAAAGACCCGGTCGCCACCACTCTCAGCCCCTCATTTTCTCCCGCAAAGGCTCCTCCGGCGAGTGCTTCCTCCTGCCTTCTCACTCCTTGTAATTCTTCAACCCACCTCCTTCACCCGACAGGTTACAGCCGAACGTGGACACTCGGCAGAAGCAGCTGGCCGCCTGGTGCTCGCTGGTCCTGTCCTTCTGCCGCCTGCACAAACAGTCTAGCATGACGGTGATGGAAGCTCAGGAGAGCCCGCTCTTCAACAACGTGAAGCTACAACGTATCCTCCCTCAGGCTCGTCCACAGCCCACACACATGCACTTCCATGCCCAGACTTCACACACCACCCCCTCCCCTTCACCCACAGTAGTCAGGTTCCCATCCAGACTGGTCTTGCGAAAGAGCAGGTATATGGTGCTGGCATTCATTTTACGCCCCCCCAAACCCAAATGCAGCACCGAGCCCTCTTGTCCTGGGCAATGATGGGTACCCAGGTGTCATTCAGGTCTTAGAACCTCCGACCTGAAGCCAAGTCCCAAACTTTTCAACCCTGTTGACCTCGGATTGCCAGTGCTGGTCATTGTGAGGCTTGATCTCAGGTACAGCCTTTAGGCATGTTCTCCTCCTACTCTCCTCCTTCCAGGAAGTAAGGGTCGTTTGTTTTTGCTGCCTGATTCATCTCTAAAATATCCGTGCAGGAAGGAGAGGGTGAGAAAACATAGTACCTTTCATTTTTGTAAAGCTCTTCTTAACTGGGTTGGTTTATCTTTAACTTCTTCCCCCCAGTATCCAGGAAATGCTAGTTTATAGCCCATTGGGAATTGCACATAAATGTATCTGGGGGGGGGAGAGGTAGGGAGCAGGTGGTTCTCAGCATGAGACTGGCTCTGCCATTTCTCTTTTTGTATTTTCTCCATCACCATTTATCCCCCTATACCCTCTTCCACCTCCCCACCACCGGCCTTTTCTGCAGTCACCACACTGTTGTCTGTGTCCATGAGTCCTTTCTCTCTTTTTCTTTTTTGCTCAGTCCCTCCTCTGCCCCCAACTTTGGCTCTGCGAATTTTTATCCCACCAAATTCCATTAATGCCGTTCCTTTAACTTTAAACCAGGGAAGCTCCCTGTGGAATCAATCCAGATTGTATTAGAGGAACTGAGGAAAAAAGGTGGGTTCAGTTCCCCAGATTCCTTATTTTTCCTCCTAGTTGGGTTTTCCTGAGGGCAGATCAATGGAAGTGTCTTTTAGTAACTTTTCTCTCTCCCCTGGCTTGAAGCCCAGAGTCCTCTGTACGGTAGATAGCTCAGTTCCCCAGGTCCTTTCTCCCATTGGTGTACAAAGTCTCTCCTTGTGTGACCTAAGACCTAAGGAGATGTAGAAGGGGAGTGGGTGCCTTGCAGGCAGCAACAGTAAAACAAGTTTCGAATTTCTCCTCTTGAAAGCTGAGTCTCTTCTATTCTCTTCCACCTTGGTTTTTGCCTCTTTGTCCCTTCTTAGAACTTACTTTCATAAGTATCTGTTTTGCAGGGAACCTCGAGTGGTTGGATAAGAACAAGTCTAGCTTCCTGATCATGTGGCGGAGACCAGAAGAGTGGGGGAAACTCATCTATCAGTGGGTGAGACTATTCTGTTGCAGCGACACATGCACGGCAAAGGAGAATTGTATCTGTGCTCAGCAGATACCTGGTATTCCCAGATCCAGGCTGAGCAGAGTAACGGGGGGCAGGGGCGGGGGGTGGGGTGCAGAGGAAGTGTAGGTATTTCAGGCAAGATTCTTTCGGTGACCTAATTTTCATGGCTGCACAGAAGTCCCCTTTCTTTGCCTGTTGGGAGACCAGAGGCTACATGAGGCCATGTTTGGAGAATGCAGTACTGGGAACTATGAGTACTATTGTTGGCTGGAGCCTCTGGCCACAGAAGATAAATGGGGAAAGGAAGGAAAAAACAACAACAACCCAAAAATGGGGCCCCTCCCCCTCATACCCATACAGGGCTGTCCACGATATGAATTCGACCTTCTGAACTATTGTGGGTGTGGGGACAGACCCTGTGCCCCAAATTCCTAGCCAGCACCAGCTCTAAACATTCCCAAGAGAGAAAGGGGAAGAAGAATCAACAACCCAAATATAACAAACACATACCACCCATTTTTGAACAGGAAAACAACCAGAATGAGAGGTCACTCTCAGACACGTGAAGGCCCGCAGTTTTGTGGTTCCAAAAGTGTGTGTACACATACAAATATAGCACCTGCAGGGTTTGTGGGTTTTAGCCACTTCTCTGCAGAGGTGATAGCCCTGCTTTGGGACTAGGGACCATTCCTGGGTCAGAGACGGGGAGCTGGCCAGTTCTCCCAGGACACTCTTGATCCTTATTAAATCCCTGTTTCTGTGTCCATAGGTTTCCAGGAGTGGCCAGAACAACTCCGTGTTCACCCTGTATGAACTGACCAATGGGGAAGACACGGAGGATGAGGGTAATGCCTTTCCATTCCCCCAGTTTTATAGTCTGAATCCTCTCTCTGGTCCTTGTTTGACTGACTTTCAGACTACCCATTTCACTGGCTCTGAATTCCAAATATTACATAATTCAAGGGTTCTCAACCCATGTCTGTTATTTTCATAAACCACCTGAATTCACATACAAAGAAAACCCCAAATTTTGTCTGTGGTGTATGTTTATTTTTCGAGGGATAGAGTCCATGTCAGATTTCTAAGGGTATCCGTGACCCATGAAAAGTTAAGAATTAGGAGTGTAGACACTAAAGGCGGAACCAGGGCAGGAGATTAAGCCTGAAATCTCACGTCTTGCTGGCTCAGGCTTTCTTTCATCCTTTATTTTTACGGAGGGCTTAAGATTTGTGGGCCTGAGCTAAAGGGATTGGGCCAACACCCTCAGTTTCTTTAAGTGCTTTGTTTTCTGGCCAGTAGTGATTTGCATACTGTTTGATTTTATATAGTATAAATATTCTCTTAGCTCTTTTATTTCTGCCTTCATATTCTGTCCCCTGGGATCACCAAAATTTTCAGTCTTTGCTTGGAGGGGGAGGGGGGGCGCCTCCCCTTTCTGCCAGGACATGGCTGCCCCAACAGAGTTTGCAGCTTTTGGCTCTTCCCTCCTACTCTGCAGGCTTCTGCTTGCTGTGCCCGCCATCACCTATGACTTCAGTGCTGCTGCCTTGCCCAGCCCACCACCCAGGCTGGGCAAAGCTAAAGGCCTCCTCAGAAAGCAAGCTTCCTGACTCAAGAGCTGGGCCCCCACAGGGGATGAGATATGCAAGCCTGTCAGGGCTTGCCTCCTGCCTCTCTCATCTCCCTGCAGTGTATTGCCTTATCTCCAGACACTCAGCTGGCCCTTGGCTCCCAGCCTGGTTCCTTTTAACTGGGAAAGGGCAGATATCTGTGCTGGACCTTAACTGTCTCCTGGCCAGATGTATGGCTATAGTTCTTTATGTTAGGACAGGTCCTTGTGATGGGTACAGGTGTGCAGCTCGGGTCAGTGTCCAGTAACAAGGGCCTTGATCTCTCTGGGCTTGATTGCCAAGGTCCCCTCTGGCCTGCAAGCAAATGGTGTCATTCTGGTGCATCCAATGTGAGTTGGGGTGTATGTGGGGGCTGAGTCTGACAGAAGAACCAAGGGGAAATAAGCGTGACTACTCATTTTATGCTAACTAAAGCTTTCTTCCACCCCTTATTCTTTTTTTGAGAGAGAGAAGAAACTGGGGGAGAGAGAGAAACATTAACTTGTTGTTCCACTTATTTATGCATTCATTGGTTGCTTCTTGTACATGCCCTGACTAGAGATTGAACCCACAACCTTGGTGTATCAGGATGGCACTAACCAACTGAGCTCCCTGGCCCGGGTATCCCACCCTTACTCTGAAGGAGTGCCTGGGAAGGGTGGGCTACAACTGTAGCAGTTTAGATGGCACATATGTATCCTTGCCTCATGAGGTCTCAGCTTCCTGCTAGATTGCTCTCTTCAGAGGCCTCGTGCCCCAAGGAGCTGAGCGCCCTTGACCGCCCCTGTCTCCCTGTCCAGAGTTCCATGGGCTGGATGAAGCAACCCTACTGCGGGCTCTGCAGGCCCTACAGCAGGAGCACAAGGCAGAGATCATCACCATCAGCGATGGCCGAGGCGTCAAGTTCTTCTAGCAGAGACCGGTTTCCCGTCACGCCTTACCTCCCACCCTTCCAGGGCTTTCAAAAGGAGACAGACCCAGTGTCCCCACAGACTGGATCTGTGACTCCACCAGACTCAAAAGGGCTTCAGTCCAGGGATGGGTTTCCCACTTACCCCACGTGTCTGTCCCTGGGATAGGGAGAGGCTGAGGCGCCACTGAGAAAAGATGTGCTTCTCATCGCCCTACCTCCTGTCCTCGATTGTCCCTGAGCCAGGGTCTGTAAACCCAGCACTTTACATGTGTTCACATATGTAAGTACACACACGCGCCTATACAAGCTTCTGTCTCTTCCCCCTCCCACCTCTAGCTGCTGTTGCCTCCCCTCTCAGGCTGGTGCTGGATCCTTTCCAGCGGTGGTGGAAGCCCTGGCTGCGGGCAGCCTTCCAGGCAGTTTGAAGATAGGAGGCCCGAGAAGGAGCAGGGCAGAGGGGCGGGGCCAGACAGTGATTTACGATATTAAAAAGCTCAACCCCACTGCCTGCCTCTGCTGTTACTACTGGAATGGGCATGGGAAGGTCCGTGAACTGCTACCCCTTGAGCAAATCCTTGCTTAGAAGAGGGCAGAGAGTCCTACGGCCTGTGTAAGTGAAAAGGTCCTCCGTTGCTGGCTGGCTCCAGCGAGCCTGTGGTTTTACATCTGCTGGGTGGGCTGTGCGAGGGAGTGCTGATGGAACACAGCTTGGGGACAGACTGCTTTCTGTGTCTGAACCAGAGTAACTTAATGGCTCCCCCTTGCCTCACCTCCCCCACTAAAGTCCCGAACTACTGTGAAGCCCCTCCCGCCATCCATCTGGTGCGGGTGAAGAAGTTGAGGCCGAGGAGAGCCGAGGGGGAGTAAACCGGACGTGGACTTCGGTTTATTGGAAACTGGCAAACAGAAGGGGGAGGGAGGAGAGCCCACATAGCAAAAACAGGCACTCTAATTAGGGCCAAGCTGTGGCCAAAGTAGGGAGGGGGAAGGGATGGGTGACCAGGTTTTTGGTTTGGGGGGCGGGGCTCATCCTAGGGTGCACACGCCCATCCCTGTGCAGCGTGGGATGGTGGCGTTGGAGAAAATCGAACCTGTCCATTGACCTCTGTATTGTCAGCCTAGTGCTACTGTGGACGACCAGGAGGGGTGGCGCTATCTTATCTGGGGTGTGCAGGCGAGTGGTACCCTCCCCTTAGCCTGCTTTCTGGGGCTGGGAAGCTGAGGTCGCGTTTCCCTTCCCTATCCAGTACTGTGCCCCCGCCCCAAACAGGTTCGTGCACTCTTACGGTGCTGGAGGACATTTCAGGGCCTCGCACCAGCTCTTAGGAATGAGCCCGGAGGCGGGTGCACCGGCAGGGGAGGGGTATCGGCTGGGGGCGGGGCCGCGGCCGAGGTGAAGGGCTGCGCACCAGAATCCACACCGTTCCTGCTGGGAGGGGGCGGGGCCGGGGCGGGGCTCCAGGTCTGGCGAGCCAGGGGCTAGGGCCCCAGGAGCTCAGCCCCAGTGCTGCGCACCCAGCCAGTCCGCTTGTCAGGCCGCCTCCTCTCCAGCTGCCAGGCGTACCACCTTGCGGCCTCTGACCCTTCTTCATGCTGGCACCCCCGGCCCCAGAGACCTCGGTCCCCATGTCCCAGGCTGAGGCGGACCTGGCCCTGAAGCCCCCGCCCCCTCTCGCTGCCACCGGGCCGCCCCGCCTCGGGCCCCTTCCTCGCCGGGCGCGCCGCTTCTCTGGGAAAGCCGAAGCCTGGCCGCGTTCTTCCCGTCTCAGCCGCCGAAGCTCAGTCGACTTGGGGCTGCTGAGCTCTTGGTCCCAGCCAACCTCACCCGTTCTAGAGCCCCTCGATCCTCCGGACTCTGTGGGGCCAGACTCTGCAAGGAGCCCACTTCCTAGCTCCGAAGAGCCCCCTGAGGGCCCGTGGACTGGGAGTGCCCCAGCGAAGGCTGCAGACTCTGCGCGTCCGGAGCTCGTGTGCTCTGCAGGAAGCCCTGGGTCCCGGGAACCGCCAAGGGTCCCCGAAGCCTTGGCTCAGGAACGGCGGCGGGAGCAGGAGGAAAAGGAGGACACGGAGACCCAGGCTGTGGCAACCTCACCGGACGGCCGATACCTCAAGTTTGACATAGAGATTGGACGTGGCTCGTTCAAGACGGTGTATCGAGGACTAGACACCGACACCACAGTGGAGGTGGCCTGGTGTGAGCTGCAGGTGTGGCTGGGTGCCCCCTCGGTGGCACGTTGGGATGGGACCCTCTGAAGGCCTTGGGGTGGGAGACCAGGGGGCAGTAACAAGAGAGGGATGTATTTTTCCATCAAAGACCCAGAGACTCCTGCTCCCACTTGCTCAGATGATCTGTGGGTCTGGCTGATTCTGGGGTACAGAAAGAGAAACTGAGGCAGGTGGTGTATGATGGCTGGCTACCCTACAGGTTTGTGCGTTCTCACTTTAAAGTCTCCATACTCAGCCCTGAAAAGTAGAAAGTAGGATGGGAAATTGGTCGGTGAGCCAGATCAGGTAGGAGAAAATGGCTGGCCCCACTGCTTGCCCAGAGCGGTCCCTCTCTTCCCCTAAGTCTTGAGACCCTCAGGGTGGTCCTCCTGTTCCCTCAACCTGGATCTTTGCAGGAGGCTGGGATGATGGTATCCAGGAGGTGGGGCAGGGTTCTCTCCACTTCCAGATTATGGCTGTTTTGTCAGGATGGGGCCCTCCCAGGCCCTTCTGGAGCAGGTAGACTTCTAGACTTCTCTGCAGTTGGGGGTTGGGGAAGACCAGCAGCTCCGCGGCCCTGGCCTGAATCCAGCCCTGCTCCTCATCCCACGGCCCACCTGGGCTCTCGCTTCTCAGACCCAAAGGTGCTGAGCCCCATGGGTTTTAAGTCTGGGCCAGCAGCTTCCAATGCATACCTGGGAACAGAGCCTGGGGGAAGGGTCTTCCGCGGAGCCCTTGCTCCTGCCAGTGCCGCGCCCCAGGCTCCGGGCCAGGCTAGAAGAGGTAGCCAAACTGGGGTGGGGGTGTGTGAGGGAGGGAGATGAGACAGACGGGACAGCCAAGGGACAGGGGTGGTCTGGCATCTGGTCCTTGATCCTTTCTTTGTACCTCCCTGTGCAGCCCTCTTCCTCCTGTCTGGTTCTAGCAGTTCTCAGTTTCTGGGGCTAACCCTCTTGCCAGCCCCAATTCTCTGCCGGCTGTCTGCCCGCTGCCTGCCTGCTGCCAGCCCGCTGCCAACCCCTGGGCGCCCTCTCCCGCCCCACAGCCTGGCCGGGCGGCCACAAAGGCGCTATTGAGCCCAGGGCTCCTGGACCTTACTGCATAAAGACGCTTGTGTCCAGGGGGGGTCCAGGGGGTGGGCCCCAGGCCCAGGATGGGCTTGTCGCTGGAGCAGCTTGAGGGGACTGGACCTGGCATTCCGGGTCAACAGCCAGTTAGGCGAGCAACCCCACCCACCCAGCCCCATCCCACAGCTTCAACCCTCACACTTCCCTGTGCCCTATCCCTCCCCTCTCCTTGGGGTCCTGGGCCTGACTTGACCTTGACCCCTATCCCCCACCCCCCAGACTCGGAAACTGTCTCGAACGGAGCGGCAGCGGTTCTCAGAGGAGGTGGAGATGCTCAAGGGGCTGCAGCACCCCAACATCGTCCGCTTCTATGACTCGTGGAAGTCAGTGCTGAGGGGCCAGGTTTGCATCGTGCTGGTCACCGAACTCATGACCTCCGGCACGCTCAAGACGTGAGCCTTGCGCCTGGTGGGAGTGGTCGGTGGGAGCTGGTGGAGGGAGGTCCCACTGCTTCTGCAGCGTCTCTCAGGCTCCTCAAACTCTATATCCAGGTTCAACACCAGGCTCAGTATCTCTCACGCACCCCTCCTGTGTCCCTGCCTGGTGAAGGGCAAGGTCCACTCAGCACTGCAGCCAAAACTTGGGCTTTTCCTTCCCAGACCCAAAGACACTAAGCCTCATGGGCTTTAGGTTTGGGCCAGTAACTTCAGATTCAGACTGGGGGACAGAGCCTGGGGCAGGGTCTTGCTCAGAGTCTACTCTCTGTCCACTCTGTGCATCCCCTTCCCCATCAGTCTATGTTCAAGTCCCGTCTTGTGTCTCCCCACTCGGCTTTCACAGCCCCGTCTACACCCCCCACCTCACCACCATCTACCTCACTGGTCTGGAGACCTGCAGCCCCCACACCCCCAAAGGGTCTTCCCACTCTGTCCCTCTCCTCCCCAAATTATCCAGTCTTCCCGAGGTCTGGGGCTATATCTCTTTGCATTGCAAACCTGACCCCATCACTCCGGTTCTTAACCCTGCCAGGTCTCCCACGGCCCTCGGGATAAAGTCACACTTCCTAACCTGCTCACAGTCCTTAGGATCCAGCCTCATCTTCAGCCTAAATTCCAGGCGAACCGAATTCCCAGCACCTCCTCCCACCCTGTTCTGTGGCTTGTTGTCTGTCTTAGTGCCTCTGAGCACAGTGTCCCCTGGAAAATCTCCATCCCTTCCCCTTCTCACCCTTGAACTCCTACTCATCCTTCACGACGCAACACAAAAGCTATTTCCTCTGTGGAGCCCTCCCCCACGCCGGGGCAGTTAATCATCCCTTCCCAGGCTTCCACAGCATCTGGACCTCAGCCCTAGAACTTCCTGTGCACCCACCACACCTCCCGACTCAGTTTCTCCCGGGATCCCGGTGCAGACCGAGGCTAGAATGCTGGCGGAAGATGCTTAGGCGACAGTGCGGGTGGAGCCGGGGGAGTTTCTCAGTAGGGGGCTCCCCGCGCTGCCACAACCCTGGCTGTGCATCCTCCCCAGATACCTGAGGCGTTTTCGTGAGATGAAGCCCCGAGTCCTTCAGCGCTGGAGCCGACAAATCCTGCGGGGTCTTCATTTCCTACACTCCCGGGTACCCCCCATCCTTCACCGAGATCTCAAGTGTGACAACGTCTTTATCACCGGCCCTACAGGCTCCGTCAAGATTGGGGACCTGGGCCTGGCCACGCTCAAGCGTGCCTCCTTTGCCAAGAGTGTCATCGGTGAGTCCCATCAGGAGAGTTCTTGCCATTCCTACCCCTCCTGTCCAGCCCCCCCCCCCCCCCCGCCCCCCCCCCCCGTCAAAAGAGAGCCTAGGGTCTTCCTATCCCCCAGCAAGGTCCTTCAAATTCCATGGAGTTAGAAGACTATGGGGAAAATGGGGAGACCTATGGCATCCCCACTCCAGCTACTGAGGTGGGGAAGGGTGGGCCACTTGCACTCCAGAACTGCAGGGTCTGCCTGGCCTTTGTACACCCAAGGGGAGGGACAAGCCAGAACCAAACCCTGCAGCCTTCGGCCTGCTGTGAACCCTGCAGGGACCCCGGAGTTCATGGCCCCAGAGATGTATGAGGAAAAGTACGATGAGGCCGTGGACGTGTACGCGTTTGGCATGTGCATGCTGGAGATGGCTACCTCCGAGTACCCTTACTCAGAGTGCCAGAATGCCGCACAAATATATCGCAAGGTCACCTCGGTGAGAGGAG